GAGGAGGAGGAGGGGCAGAAGGAGGAGGAGCAGGAGGAGGAGGAGGAGGAGGAGGGGGAGGAAAGGAGAACGGTGTGAATTTGGCATCGCTGGGACGTGTGTATTTTTTCTTGGTGAGGACCATCGAGGAGCAGCCTGGATCATTTGACACAAGAATAGCACGCACGAAGCGAAGAATGCACGGGGAATGGACGTCCGAGCAATGTCAAGTTCAAGGATGTGCCCAGGAGGTTCGAGGTTCTAGGGTTGAGATTTTCTGACGTGTTCGTCGGCTCCAGGCTGCTTTCCGGCCTCGGGATGCCTTCCAGCAGCTGCGCCTCGCCGAGGGCGTTCCTGGGGTGCCCAGATCGTCCCGAACGGCCGCTTGAGCACCGAGTTATGTCCTGATAACCGCACGTACGATGGGGCCGTTCGTTAAAGAATGTGTCCAAGAGGTTTCATATCCTAGGGGGTTCCTTATCTGATGAAGGCGGCAGTGGCACACATGGCCAAACCACGATTGGAGTTCAGCCCCCCGGGACCATTGCAAAGACTTACCAGGACATCGGCAAGTCGGGGAAACAGTACCCTTTATTGCGAAGCCAGATTTGGTCGTCAAGTGCATGCTGTTTGGGCTGCGCTGCAGGATTCGGGCCTTTGTCTGGGTCTGGGGGGCGGGCAAGCTCGTAGTGTTTTTGTTTGGGTTTATCTGGGAACGTTGCAGTGCAATGTTTTGTTCGTGCCGCCGTCTGGAAAATATTGGTTCCGAGGAATGTTGGATGTTCGGTGTCCACCATGTCTCGGAGGTCCTCGCGAGCTTCTTTGGAACAAAAACGGCCTAAACATAATTTCTCTCAGGCCCGCGCGGATTTGTAGGGTCGGCACTAGACCCATTTAGCGGCGCCCCTGGCGCTCGATGAGGTTTGCGAACTTGATGACCCTCGTGGTTTTGCAAGGTCATCCCAATACGAATGTGCATGTGTACCTTGCCTTAGTCTGATGAAGTCGGATACACAACGGGGAAGAGGGTGAGGGCCCCTTGCCCATTCTCTCCCTCCCTTCCCCGTGCTCATTCCATATGCTCCGCTGCTCTTCTCCTCCTCCTCCTCCTCCTCCTCCTCCTCCTCCTCCTCCTCCTCCTCCTCCTCCTCCTCCTCCTCCTCCTCCTCCTCCTCCTCCTTCCGTAGCCATTTTGGCTCAAGGTACCCATGTCGCCTCGCGGCCGCATGGATACCGCTGGTCCGCGGCCAGACCACGGTGTTTCTCTACGCCTTCACGGAGGGAGTTGGGCGCCCTCATGCACTTCCCTCCCACCGACGCGCGGTTTCGGTCATATTCTCTTGTGTGTGCCATGGGCGGATCGGCGAGGCGGTCGAAGAGGGAGAAGGAACGTCGTCGGAGGCGCCGTGAGTGTGATCATGATGAGTCTGTTTCTTCTGTGTCTGTTGGGTCCTCTGGCTCTGACAAGCCCAGTCGTGAGCGCTCAGAAAGAGGTGACCGTCGCCGACGCCCACCACGCAGTGCCTCTGATTGTCCCCGACAGCGCCAGGATCATGAAGGCCCTGAAGACGCTCGGCCACCCCGCATGCCATCTGCGAACCAGAGATTGGCGGACGCGGTCTTCGAGATGGAACGTGATGGCGTACGGCTTTCGCAGGTTCCCACATTCCCGCCTTCGCAGCAGCGTGTTGATCCGCATGATCCCTGGGCTAGGGCTGCTGCTGATGCGATTCTCACTCCTCCTGCTTCGCCTCATGCACAGGTGGAGGGCACCGCGACCCCGCGAGACGGCATCACTCCTACGGTGCCCGCTGGACATGGTGAGGGAGCCGAGGGCGGTCCTGACTGGGCCACTTATGTTTCGCAGGTGGTCGCTTCTCAGCTGCAGGCGCACGCGGCGAACATCACCGCGCAAGTCCAGAATGCTGTTGCCACCACGTTGCAGCACGCCCAGGGCACGATCATCTCGCAGCTCCAGGCCCATTTCGCCCCGACGATGCAGCGGGTTGGTGGACACGACCTGGCCATTGGTGACCTTCAGCGGAAGCAGCTCGCCATGGAGGACGCCCAGAAAGAGATGCGCGCAGACATCAATCGGATCAATAATCGCTTGGCACTATCGGAGGAAGAACACTCAGCGGTGGACATCGCCCGTCTCGCGGACTTCGATAGAGACCCCTACCCCACGATCTTCACGATCAACGCTCCCGATGATGTTGCCCCCGATGAAGTGCGCGGAGCCATCGCATCTTGGATCAACGACGCCAAGCTTGATGCCGAGGATGCAGTGCTGCACGGACGGGGGCCCAGCAGACGGTTCGTCTTGGAGGCCAAAGGAGGCGCGACAGGTATCTCGAAGGCCATCACCTTGGCCAAGGCGCTCCGCTTCCCCTCGGGAGAATGGAGGAGGTTCTCGGCTAGGCAGCTTTCTGGGGCTACTGGTCCTTCGTACGTTGGCCCCGACAAAGCCCCTAAGCAGATCAGACGCGAGCAGCAGTCCAAACGATTGGCCGCTATCGCTCAGGAGAAGATGCCCAACAAACGTTGGTGGGCTACCAGAGCAAGAGGCTTGGTGCACATTGAGGGTCAGCCGCTGGTCGAGGTGGTGGTCAGAGGTGCCAGCGAGCCCTCAAGGCTGGCATGGAATCAAGCGGTGGTCGCCCAGCACCAAGTGGACGTGGCGGGCATCACGG